AGCTCACAAATTAATACATCATATCTTGTTTTGTTTATTTTATCTGGATTACAAGCCTACAAAACTGCAATTTGTGGTTTTGTGTGGGTTTTTCTGCTGATTAAAACAACATTGGTATATTTTGTGATTTGGCGTTCCCACTTTCAGAGTGCAATTCACTTATACATCACTGCAGCCTTTTGCTTGGTCACTCTTCACTTCTTAACTTCCTCTGTCATGATATCTGTAGAGGCTGCTGAGCGCGGTTACATTGCCAGCTCGCGCAGCTTCAGTTCTGGTGCCCATTTTGCCACCACTCCCTGTCAGCATTACCCCTCTTCCCACAGCTGAAAACCTCCCAGTCCAGCTGGCTGAGCAGCAGTTAGTAGTAAACTGACTTTAGCAACAAGTGAATCTTTATTTTCATCAGGAAAGTCTGTAAACTCTTATTGAGAATTGAGAAGCTGGAGGACAAAACCAGAAACATTGCTCCATAAAATATTATCCAGTTTCACCTAAATGAGTGACATAGTTGGTGGGGTATGTGTAAGTGTTACGTACTTCTCCCGACCTGGATGGACACCGAAGTTACATAGTAGAACTGGTGTATGCGCAAAGTGGGAATGCCAGAAACACCATTCACACATTACATCAAAATTATTATTGAAGCTGTTATTTTAAGGTAGTATATAGAAATATGTATCCTAAATATGTAATGGACAGGTATCGATCTTATTATCTAACACTATTCTTTTATATACGTGTTGCATTCATGTACTGTGTGCTGATGAGTGCCCTGTGCAATATTTCCTCATTGAGCAATAGCACAACAGGAGTACAATACAAAGTGTTTGAATGGTTTGAGTCGACTGTTCAGGAATGGTGTTGATTATAAAAGGGGAACATTACTACTATTCAGTGACAACATCAGTGACATCACCAGGTGCCACCATGTCTGTCTACACATCTCAGTCTGCGTCTGACACTCCTTCACACTCACACAGAGATACACACTCTCTCTATTTTAGAACCAGTCAGACAGCACTGTCCTCCACCTGTCTCCAGTGTTACCTGCCCCAGTCATTAACAGGGTCCCAGATCCCCACTGTAAGTGCACATGTCAACAGCAAAATTACAGGGCCTGCACACACACACACATATTTGTTTTGCTTTTAAAAGGGTAATATCTGTCTGCACGCAAGCGATACGTTCATTTTCTTTCCTGCCCCTCCACATCTTCTTTTTCTTTGGGGACAAACCCAGAAAACAAAGCAGGTGAGGTTCAAAGACAAAACAGAGAAAAGGACACGAGTAGAGGAGATGTATGGAGATGACTGACACACATTGGTGGTTTGTGTTTGTGTAATGACAAGGGGTGTTTTTCAGCCCTGTTTCTCTGGTTAGTGCCGATTTTACCTCAGAGATCACAAACCACTTCCCTGACTGAAGTGTCATTAGATCTCTGCTTTGTTCTCCCTCTTAGCTCGCTCTTGCCTAACTAATCAAGACAAGAAAGTCTCTCCAGATGTCTGTGGTAAGAGTGTCTATGTCTAAGTTTGATGAAGAGGAAAACACAGTGCCAGAGATACACATAGCTTTGACTGAAAGATAAAGATCTATTTTCAGACAATGACATCAACTTTTCTTTTCACTGGAGTTTTACGTATGCCAAGGGTTTACTGTTGTATAAATATGCCATGGTGCACATACAAGCAATCAAAGGCACTCTACTCCTTCTAAAGTTGTGTTGTTGTAAAACTATCCTTTTATCCTCGGCTCTTTCACCAAGTCGGCTTTGGGTAACTTGAGTGCTCTCTTTCCCTTTTCAACATGATCAGTACAAACAATGACAAACTTCCTCTCTCTTCAGTGTGATTGACTTGGTCTTACTGTCGCTCTTATCGTGTGTTTTTTCTGCTGAAAGAACTCATGACTGTATGTCTGAATAAATACTGACAGAACCTCATTAGATGTGGCATCGCTGCCATCCTGAAACAGACAGAAATGAAGTCACCACTGGGCAACATTGGACTTGTTAGCACAGTTTAAAAAAAAATGAATGGTTGCTCTTTTGTTGACGATCAACACATATTAGTCACTGTATTTTGCTTTTACCCGGACCTCACTGAAACTGACACAGCCTCAAACATGAACTGACTTCACCTTGGTGAGCAAACATACTGCATGCATGATGACAAATGCATTAAGCATTTCCTATAATTTGTGCGCCGATCACATCCGTCTTCTGTGTGTGCTGTAATTTCCCTGACTGGATCCTCAATAACATCCTGTTGTCTGAGGACATCTGAGGGGCCAGTTGGACTGACCCTCCACCACATCACACACAGGACAGGACAGGACAGAGCAGAGACTATTATCCAGGCCCAGGCTAATGACAGTTGAAAGAAAGAAACAGGCAGGAAGCTGTCCCCTGTGATCTCTGTATTTAAAAGTGTTCTTATTATTGCTTGTGTATTGTTTTGTCGTGCTGGGATCCCTTTGGACTACTATTATTAAGTTGAAGGACTGTGACTCGACTGTGGCCATATATTTTAGCTGAGGTTTGGTGATACATAAAAGGAACGTGGACATCCCTTATTGTTGATGATAACCTTTGTGATTTTACTTAAAGTAATTAAATCCA